TGTGTGTGTGTGTGTGTGTGTGTGTGTGTGTGTGTATGTATGTGTGTGTGTGTGTGTGTGTGTGTGTGCGTGTGTGTGTTAGTGCGTGCGTGTGAGTGTGTGTGTGTGTGTGTGTGTGTGTGTGTGTGTGTGTGTGTGTGTGTGTGTGTGTGTGTGTGTGTGTGTGTGTGTGAGTGTGTGCGTGTGTGTGTGTGTGTTTATATCCATATATGTATGAATATATATATATGCACATATGCATATATATTTATGCATGTATATATATATATGTATATATATATATGTATATATATATATATATATATATATATATATATATATATATATAATGTGTGTGTGTGTGTGTGCGTGATAGATAGATAGATAGATAGATAGATAGACAGATAGATGGATAGATAGATAGATGAATGGATAGACAGATAGATAGATAAATATTTTGTTAGACAGATAGATAGACTGATAGAGAGATAGATATAGAAATATAGATAGATACATATATATATATATATATATATATATATATATATATATATGTATATATATATATATATATATACATATATATATATAGATATATATATATATATATATATATATATATATATATATATACATATATGTATATATATATATATATCTATATATATATATATATATATATATATATATATATATATATATATATATATATGTATTTTTTTTTTTTTTTTTTTTTTATGACTGCATGGATAGATGTATCTACACCCACACCCAAGTACTGTAAGTAATGTGAGGCCATATGTGTCGTATTCTGGTTTATTTGTAGACAACACAGTGGAAGGCGTGACAGCTGTTGCGGTTTTAGACATTTTGTTTGAAACATTTTGAAAAGTTTGGAATGTTAATAAATGGACGAAAGAGCGCTAGACTCTAATAGCAATAGCAGAAAATTACGCTAGACCAAACCAACCGACAAAATTTATTAACCACCAAACATACAAATCACGAATGACACCAAAAATATCACCGAATGCGCAAATATCAAAATATTACATCATAAACACAGGATTTACGCCCTAAACAAACATAATGAAATCATCTTAGCGGAAAAGCGCCCGAATCGAGCGAACGAAAACAAGAGAGAAACAAGACCTTCAAAATCATCATAATCAAGAATGGATACACGTATAATCATATCGACTAAATATCTAAGAACCAAATACTCACGTATCAACCAATTTTCTCTGAAATGAAAAATACCTACACAACAGACTCGTTTTTTTTCCCTATAATTTTCCAGCAATTGGCTCAGTCGCCTTCGAGACGTCAAAGGGTTAACTGTGACGTTTTTTCTCCCAGCGCTGACAGGTTTGTATTTTTTTTTTATCTTTTTTAATTTTGAAGGTTGAGGAATCGTCATTAACTGCATTAATCTTAGTAAAATTACCTTATTCCCAGAAAGCTGATTTTTTAAAGATATAGATGACGGGGTTCATGTATTTTTTGTAGGCCTATTTGAGTTCTGGTTATTTTTTAACGTTGTGATTTATAGGCCTATAGCTACGAATATTTACGCTTTTTGGTGAGTTTTGTTTACGGTTATTGTTTGCTTTTGTGTTTAGGGTACTCAGTGCCAGATAACCTTCTTTAAAACCTTTTTTAAATTAGTATTTAGAATGATGAATATTATTAACGTCCCTTATTTAACTATTTTTATGTGTCATTCCATATGTTTCTGTTTCAAGTGAGGTCAATATGTAGAAGAGGATAGCGGGTTACTTTCGAAACAATTCTGATGTTTTTCTGCATAAAATCCACTGCTTTCAATGATTCCAGTCATTGCTCCTTGTGCAAATGAATCGTTGCAGAGATATGATCACCGTCTTCATCAGCAATCTTGATTTGATAGTCCCGATAGCAGGGGAGGGCATGAAGCATATCAGGGAAATTATGTGGTAAAACAGGGAAATTATGGGGTAAAACAGAACCCCCATGGTTGTTAAACAAAACATCCTAACCCAACATCCAACCTAACCTAACACCGTGGTATATATTCCCTAGCCAAGGAGCTCTGCCCCCTGTACCCCTGCATTAATATATGTAGTAATGTGTACTCCCCCTGTGATAATATATCTAGAATTCACTCCCCTAATGTAAACAAAATGAGCGACAGCCAAAATTGGGGGATCTTCTCTTTTCTTTTATGTATAGCACCCTTGGAAAGCATTTACACACATATTGCTATAGAAGAACTTTGTCTTGGTTTGTATTGTTCTATCATTTCATGTAGATTTTATTACCCAACTCTGCCACTACCTCATACTACATATTGTCCGTTGGTACGTCCTTCGTTGTATAGGTTCAGGAGAAATAGGTCAGTAAACATTAATGAACATAAAACTTGAATATTCATGAAAAAAAAGTTTATTTAGTATATACTTTATATAGTAGTTATGTACTTTTATTTTTTATGTATGTATAATAATTTAGACGCCCATTTATGAAATTGATTGAATTTTGAAGTAATGTCAATTCAATCAGAGTATTGCATCAGAGCTTGCAACTTGCAATGGCAGAGATTAAAATGAACAAAGAAATAGCATCCAAAGCCTTGCTTTAACTGGCAGTCTCTCTTGAACACTAAGAGGCTTATTAAACAGGCCGTCACTGCTGTGATTTTTTTTGAGAGTCTGTCGCTGCGGTTTACTTTTTATTGCGGAAGTGAAGAGCCTTGATTAAGGTATAGGAGATCAGTGCATGCTAGTTTTTAAAAGAAATGTAAATTCACATTCTTAATAGTATAACAAAGAAGGTTAATCATTACGGAATGGATGCATTAGGCTAGGGCAAACTGAAAATAATATTCTTATAGAGAACAAAAAGTCTGAGGACACAAAGGGTGATCCCACAAGTGCAGTGGGAAGGTAGCGGAAAGTGCTGAGTTTCAGCTCTGTCTTGCTGATACTGGGGTGAAGATAATGTTTACTGGGGGATGTTGGGGGGGGGGACCCATTAACCCTTTCCATAGGCATTCAGGCTCACCTACTCACGACTAATTAGATTGTTGAAAAAATTGTGACATGGAGTTGGGGACTTTTAGGCTCTGGCAAGTGTGCCCGCTTTGTAAAGAATTGCCAAAAAAATAAAATAAAAATAATTATGATGATGATGCACTTGCATAATGTGCCTGTAATAAACATTTAAGTATTTTACCACAGGTGATTTTTTTAAGGTTGCTCACTGTTTACAGTGTAGTATCAAGTACTGCAGTGAATTTAGAATTTATTACTGTGATAAATCAACTAGTTTCATAGCACTACATACATGTAAGATAGAGAAAAGGACCACACCAGCTAATGAGAAATGATAGATTGTGCATTTAGGATGGGATTCATTCCTTCATTCATTCAAGTAGGGATACTTAATCTCAGGCATATGCGGTCCTGTTGTAAAACTTTTTCCCAAGTCTTGCTTTATTACAGTATGTATATATTAGATATTTACCATTGGCCTACACCAAAACCCTATATCTGACAATGGGATTTGTGCATTTAGTGCTTCAACAGTTTATTATTGTGTTTGAAACCTACACAAGGTCTATAATGGCAGAACATAGGCAAAGAAGATTTGTCTTCATCTTTGATTACTGACAGTGGTGGCAAGTGCGCTGCTACAGGGTTGCACTTCTCCATCACACTTCTCAGCAGGTTTCAAGTGGTTTTAGATAGGACACAGGCAGTGGTTAATTTTTTTTGTGTTCGTATTGTCATCCTTTGGCAGAGCACCAAGTGATGAGGATGTGTTGCTTGCCTTGTTTTGAATTTTTAGATGTACATTTTAACAAAGCAAAATTAATGTAGTATTGAAACATTTGTTATTCTTAATATTGCTTGCAAAGACAAAATGGAAATCATTATGCTATGTAAAAAAAAAGGAAATTTAGATTTTTTTCCTGTCAGGGCTAATAAGAAAGGAACAGGCATATTACATATACTTCTGTGTTATTTAGGATTTATAATAGGAATTTTTTTCCCATGTTTGGTACTTCTGTTGTATAGATGTAATGTACCAAACTAATTTCAGTAATTCTTAAACTTAGGACAGCATTTACTTGTAACAAAGTTTTACACTTGCCATGACCACTGGCAAAGGTAAGCGAACCTCTGCCTCATAAATTCTAGCAAAAGCTTTTACTGGTTACCTTATTTGATGATAAATATCCAGGGAGATAGCTCCATCATACCAAAATAAGCCATGTGAAGGTTTCCTGGCCCTTTGAAGGCTACTACAGTGATCAGACACATCATTTGAAGATGTTTTTTTGAGATGCTGTTGTAGGCACACCTTGGCTAATATTTTTTTTGTGTGATGTCTTCTTTATTGACTTCACTTAATTTTTTCTGGACTGTCTTCTGATCAGAATTTATCTTATCCATTGATGCTGATTGTATGTTCTGCTCACTATATATATTTTTTCTTTTCTTTTCTTTTCTTTTTTTTTCTTTCTTTTTTTATGTATAGATGGCTCTAGAGGCACTTTAGTTACCTAGAAGTCAAATATAAGGCTTATGTTGACATCTGTAAAGTGGTACCATTATTATTTCTATTAACATAATGACTATCATTATTATTTTAACATCAGTAGTAACGATAATAGTGCAGAAAATAAAACCTCTCATGAAAATTCAAGGAACAGAGTAAATAGGTAAAATCAGGTAGGCTTAGTGGTGGACTTCAGGGAAACTTAGCACTTGTGGAGCCATCTATGTATAAAAAATAAGAAAGGAAAGGTAGTGTGTATATATATATGTGCATTACTGACATCTATTTCAACCAACAACATATTGATCCTCTCTATTTGTTCAGGTGTCCCACATTCAAATCATGACGCTGATGTCAGCAAGACTGATGTCAGGCCATCTGCAGCGTCTTAGAAGCTGCTTTGTCCACACAGCCTCAGGAGGGGCATGGAAGGTGAGCGTGACAGGTGACTTTCTCGGAGTTAAAGGGTACTTCTGGAAGAAAATTCTTCTCTCTTTTCTGATTTTTCTTTTCCCATTTCTTTCTCCAATTATTTATTGATGTGTGTGTCAGAAATTTGGTTTCTTGTATGAAATTACCACATAGGCTAGTTGGGGAAGAATTATTCTGTATAGTAGTAGTAATAGTTCACCACCTAAAGCAGCCCCCCCCCCCCTCCCCAAACAGGAGAGTTTTGCCGAAGACATTGACCCCCAGCAGTTTGCCCTTCTGGAAGAGCAGTGCATCCTGGTTGATGAGAATGACACAAACATCGGTGCTGCTTCCAAACGTGATTGCCACCTGATGCAGAATGGGACTAGTCCTCTCCACAGAGCATTCAGTGTATTCCTCTTTAATTCTTCAGGTGAACTTCTTGTGCATAGACGGTCAGATGCTAAGGTAGGTAACCTGTTTCCTTGTTGTATTTTCTTCTTATTAATTGCAATATATGGCTTGATGGTTGAAAAATTTTGCAAATTATAAAGCTACGTTAATCAGTAATTTGTGCAGATAAATACTGGAGCCAATAGAGAATTATCTTTCCCAGATTACATTCCCCGGCCACTACACCAACACCTGCTGCTCACATCCTCTATACACACCCAAGGAAATGGAGGAGGAGGATGCCTGGGGAGTGAGAACGGCTGCCCAGAGACGCCTGGAGTTTGAGCTGGGCATTCCCCTTGAGCAGGCACAGCCCAAGGACTTCACGTACCTGACCCGCATCCATTACGCCAGCCCCTCCAGCGGTAGATGGGGGGAGCATGAGATGGACTACATCTTGTTCTTGCGCGGTGACGTCTCAGTGAGCCCCAACGAGAATGAGGTACAAGATGTGAGATATGTGAAGCGCGAGGACTTCTCGAGGTTTCTGAGCAGCCTGCGGGAGAATGACGTCCCCATCACTCCTTGGTTCCACCTCATAGCTCAGAAATTCCTGCCGCTTTGGTGGAAGAATTTGGACAACATTGGCAAGTTTATTGACCACCGCCAGATACACAGGATGATAAACTGATTGGGTCTAGAGTTAAGTAGCGTATAGGGAGTCGAATATTCCATTTTTATTTAATGCAATAGGCTTATTTTCTGATCTGGATTTTACTATTATAAAATGGTCAATCTTTTACGTACTTTTCTCTTTTCCTTTTATAAAGTGTTGAAATTAAGCACAAAATTTAATACAGCCTGACATTTGTAATACAGAAATGCCTCCAGATACATGGAATAATTTAATATGTTAAGTGAAATAACAGAGTGCATGGCAAAAAAAACACATGTGCAGACATATAGGGCTAGCACTATGGGAGGGCAAAATCCTGGTCCAGTTTAAGGAATTTAAACTGGCAGATGAAGATTAAGACAGTGTATAGGGGAAATTATCCTATTCTAGAAAAGAGGAAGAGAATACAACTTAAAATAAAAGATAATATGTTTGTCTCATCTGCAACATCAAGACTTCACCCTATATATACAAGCACCTTCAAGGATAATGACAATATTGTACTATACTTAATAAGGAAACTTTAATGCTAAAAATGTTCTTGCTTGTCCTTTGTGTTGTGCATTGTGATTCCCCTGTCAAAGGATCCAGCCTCTCTAACAAGCTTTAAAATCTGTGATAAATATTTGTGGTCTATAACGATTATCTGCTAGAAAAAGATAAGTAATAGAGTTAGTTTGAAACTTTTTCACAAGAATAAGTAGAAGGGAAAATATTTCTAATACACTTCTGTAATGCATGTACTTGACAACACTATACACTTGGGCACAGTGACACACTCATAGTTGCAAACTATATTGTGGAGCAACTCATTCTTCAAATATTAATGGTTTAGTGAGAAATCCCAGGAACAGAATCTGTCATACCAAAGACTCCTCTGCTATTAAGAAAACAGCATGTATTAATTACACAATATAACATTGACTGTCACACTCACTTAACATGGTGATAATTGAAACACACAAAGGTAAAATAAAACTATTGCATGGGATTTTTATAATTTGTTTTTTACCCTACTGAACTGAAACACCTTATGGTAATTTTAGTACTAAACACCCACAGTATACAGCTTATTTCTGAATGTGGTAAGCAACAGAAAGGCTTAAAAAGAATAGCAAGGAGAGCTTGAATGAAGTAAAAGAATCTTGAAAATCTTTGTTGCCTCATTTCCACCTTTTAAATAACAAAATTGCATGATGTACTATATTTTGTTGTTTTCTACACTACAGCTGACTAAACAGATTAAAAGTGGGAGCCATGTTCATGTCATATACAACCTGTCACACAAAAAAGAAAATAAAGATATTCAATTTTTTTTTTTTTTCTGAAAAGAAATTATACAAATGTAATCATAACTCTTAAACACAAGTAAATATGATTATAATAATTCCAAATGAAACTACAAATAAAATGACTTATCAATCTTTGCTACAATCATCCCATTCCTAGACAGATAAGCCCCATGATATTTTGATCTTTGTGCATTATAAAGTATTAAATAAATCTTGAAAGAACGACTTTGTGTCTAAAATCTTACACCATAAACCCTAACAGAAGGAATAGCTCGAAAGCCTTTGTCACGTGAATAAAATGATGTTATCTGGACTTGACGTTCATGTACAAATAGGAGGTGTGGTACAAAATCCTATTATTAACTTTTATCTTTGTTTACCCCCTTCAATGGTCTTCCACCCACTGACTGTTCACACTTGAGTTATTTCCTGTGTGTCTCTTTCTACAATTATTTCTATCAGTGATTTCTTTTTTTAAATTGTTTCAGAATTAAAGTACAATGATGCACCAAATTTTGTCAACATACTTTGTATTTTTGGATTTTATAAAATTATTTTCATACATGTTTTTTTAATATAGTTTATATATATGTACATGCATACATATACACACACATATGTACATGTACATATATACATACATACATATACATATATACATACATACATATACATATATACATACATACATATACATATATACATACATACATATACATATACGTACATTTACATATATATACATCTATATAAATATATATACATATATACATATATATATCTATACATATATGAATGTGTATATAAAGAATAAATATATATATATATATATATAAAGATTTCATATATAAATGTAGATATATGTTATTACACACACACACACACACACACACACACACACACACACACACACACACACACACACACACACACACACACACACACACACACACACACACACACACACACACACACACAAAGTACACTAAATTTTTTTTATCATTTTATTTGTGTTTGTCTACAATAACCAAGAGAGAAGGAAGGATTCTTTAGTTTATTTTTAACTGTCTATAAAATTCCATATAAGGCTACAGGGGGTAATAAGACCCTCGCAAATAGGCATATTTCTATTAAATTAAAATCTTGTGAAGAATTGTTAATTCTAGAAGAAAAATAGCACACAAAAAATGTCAGGAATGGTAAAGAAACGACAAAAATATTGGTTAAAGTTTAAATTACAAAAGACCCGGATAAACCATAAGATAAGAGAGATAAGGGAGACAATGCATCCATATCCCCACATTTTTGAGGGGGGGGGGAGGTTAATACAGAAAAAGGAGGCCAAATTTTTGTTTTGAAAAAGTTCCTTGATATATATACTGAAAAAAGTGACAGAGAAATGCATTCAAGATATACAGGAAATTATAATAATAATAACTAGAATACATACTTTTCATTTGAGTAAATATGGAATGTTAAATAAATTTATCAACATTTCTGGAAGGAGATAAGACACAGGAAAAGAGAAGAGGAACAAAAAGAAGAAAACAGTAACAATAACAACAATAAAACAAAAATGTAACAAAATCAACAATTTATTTTTAATTTTACAATACTAAACAAAGGCTGTTCCTTTACCTTGAACCACTACAATTCAAAATTATTTTTTTTGTACTCTATAAGGATACAAATGTTATGTAAAATTTCTTATGATAAATGGAATGTATAAAATTTATAACTATATCCAGTATCACATATTTCTATGGATATTGACTGGAGAAATATTTTCCAATTTTGCAATTTATGAATACTTTTGGAATGTAATTATACAGAAACTTTGGAGATAAAAGGAAAAATGACAAGAATATTTAAGATATATGATGGCCATAAAAAAACTAAGCTTGAAGCTGCACTAATGAAATATTATAAAACCTTACATTAGTAATAAAATAACAATCTGCATATATATGATACATATTCAATAACAATCTATATAAAAACCTTGAACAGTAATATGGACATTATATATAACTACATTAATGCATACATACATATGTGCATATATGTATATGTACAGTGTGCATATAAGTATAGGGTATGTATGTATGTATGTATGTATGTATGTATGTATGTATGTATGTATGTATGTATGTATGTATGTATGTATGTGTGTATGAATGTATGTGTGTATGAATGTATTAACGTATGTACATATGTAGGTATATATATATATATATATATATATATATATATATATATATATATATATATATATATATATATATATATATATATATGCATAAGTGTATGTATGCAATACAAAACTGTATGTTTTTACTTATGTATGTATCCCTGCATATAATTTAGAGTATAAACTTAAAAAGCTTTTTCTCATCAACAGATAAGAGTCTATATTAAGCTTTACATACCAATTAGTTGTTTTCCTAATGCCATTAGCCTGATGCATGCTGTAGCTGTACAATGTGGAGGATTACTGTATTAAAATTAACTTGCAAAAGTGAAAGATATATACCACTTCTATATCTCTAATAAGATATTTACATACAACTATGTATCATTTTTGCAAAATGGCATATTCATTCAACAATACTTTTAAGAATTAATACATAGCTAATTTTAACAAGCTTGAAAAATATGTATAATACGTGAAATGTATCTAATGTAACTGTATTTTGTACCGCTTAGAATTCCTTGTTATCAAAATACTAAAATGAAATATGCAGCTTTATCATTTTTGGAATAAAACTTACAGGGATTTACAAGGAAGTAAAATGTATATCATTACAAGTTAACACCAATCTTAAAATGTAATATTGGACAAAGGGAACTGTAATAATGAGGTGCTGTTAAATGTTCCCCATTGTGCGACGGTACTCCAGCTGTTCCGACTGCATCCTTTTGAAGATGTCGTACTTCTTGTCATGGTATCTGGAAGCAAGTCAGTTCATAATCTTATTATTAGGAACTTCTAAACCTCTGTAAGGAATCTGAATAACAAGTCACTAGACTTAAATTTGGTATTAATGACACATAAATGACAGTAATTATAAATGTTTTAAGAATACCTTATTGCAAAATATTCCTAGAATATGCAATCTCAACTTTATGATAAGAAATTAATATATTTGCATGTAGGTAGGACTACTTTGTTTCAATTTACATAGAGGAATCATAAGAAAATACATTTCCAATTGATCCAACCAAAATTCTTGTTGGCAATATCAGCATTCTCAATTCACTGTCTTGATCGTATTTAAATGACAAAAAAGAACCAAAATATTATTCTTTCATCATAGTCCTCAGCTCATTTAAGTATAGGATTTTTTTTTTTTTTTAGCCTATTAACAACTTTACTTTAACCATTAAGAAAAAGGAGGGTTGGCCTGTTCCTTACTCCTTCAGTTCCTTCCTTGGATGGAAGGCCTGTGCTGCCCCACCCATTGCAATTGCAGCTGAGGTCAAGTCAGGGAAGTCTCCTGAGGCAGCGGCACCTAGCATGGCTGACCCCAGAAGTACAGACTGTTTGGTGGCTGGGATCAGCACAGGAACACCTACAATGTAAAGGAGACACAGGGGACTAAGAAAGGATTTCATTGTTATGCAGTTTATAAAAATAAAAATAAAAATAAATATTCTTTTAAGAATAACTTTATACAACATAATATGATAATTAGGCAGACTTATTTTTACATACAATGGACTTGACAAAATAAACTTGAAACTCAATCAACCTGACCTGATATATATATTCAACTAAGAAAATGTTACACGAAAAATGAAATAAAATCTGCATAGAGAAAATAGACACATCTAAATGTGGAATTGTCCCCCATACCCAGTGCATCTGCATGGGTGCTGATAAAGAGCGGTGAATTGGAGAGTCCCCCACACATGAGGACTGATGTAATGACGTGGCCCGATGCTTGTAGTTGCTCTATAATGTGCCTCGTCCCATACTGTTTAGCAGTGAAACAGGAGTCATGCTGTTAGTCACAATTTCCTACCTCCAAAAAGGACATGATGGATATGGCTTTCTGTGTTAAGACATTGACTTGGTAACAGACATCCAAACGAGAATATAATTTTTAATTCTAATAACCCTACAGTCAGTAATTCACAGTTCTATCGGATACTGACTTAAGAAAGTTTTAGCTTGATCTATTTCACACATAACTAATAATTAAAAGAAATGAAGAAGGTCAGAAAAATATGTTAGAGACACTGCTTTCAAAAATTGCTTTTAAAATAACCAAGAAGCAGCTTAAAAAAAGAACTGCAACTCTAAAACACAAGTTGAAATACCAATACTTACAGATAGTGCTTGAATTGTGGCCAAGTAAAGCACAGCCAAGTTTCTTTCACTCACATCCAGAGTCAAACCACACACCTAAAGCAAGATGAAAGAGAGAAGAAAAATGTTCATTTAGGATTAAACTTCATATTAGCAAATACAAATAATAGTAGAGGCATACATCTCTTCATCTTTTCAGTCTCCTAGCTGCAAAATTCTAAATATCAATACTAAAATTCATAAATGCCTGTCCCTAACACTGAGTGCATACAACAATTTTAGGACTTAATCATCATAATGGACAACAAATTATCCTTCATGAAATTCACATCAACACCCTTTGAATACAAAATTTTCAGTCACTCCTGCAAGCCAATTCTGATTTACAAATGCATGTGACTGCTCTCAATATAACTAAAAATAAAGCACAAACCGGCTACTCACAGTTGACATGTTAACCATCCTGCTCTAGATTAACCCACAGAAGACCTATAGTCTTCCTGAATACCCATTGAATACCCCATCCCCATTACACTTACCATGCCCATCATAGAGGGCTCTGCAAGAGGTGACCTATTCCCATGGAAGTCTGGATAGACATGCACATCTCTGGTGAGCAGAGAGGTGTGGGCGAGACCTTTCTCCTCCGCCATGACAGACAGGATGCCCTCTAACCAGCCATACTTGTCGCTGGGGAAGGAAGGATTCAGAGAGTGAGAGTGCAGAGGCTTTGGGCAATATTGTGCAATATGTCTGAGAGAGCGGGAGTGAGAGAGAGAGAGAGAGAGAGAGAGAGAGAGAGAGAGAGAGAGAGAGAGAGAGAGAGAGAGAGAGAGAGAGAGAGAGAGAGAGAGAGAGAGAGAGAGGGACAAGGGATATATGTGTGTGTGTGTGTGTGTGTGTGTGTGTGTGTGTGTGTGTGTGTGTGTGTGTGTGTGTGTGTGTGTGTGTGTGTGTGTGTGTGTGTGTGTGTGTGTGTGTGTGTGCAGGGCCATACCTCTGAGGGCACTTTCCTGAAGCTGGGTGGCTCTTGATGACATGATCAACAAGGGCACCAGTGGCACTCTGGCCTCCCTCATTGAGCCAGCAGCCAGGCACCATGGCACTCAAGTATGGTCCCCACACACCTGGCACAAAGATGGGCTGCTCGCTTACGCACATGTGGCAGGTGGAAGTCCCGCAGATGAGACCTGAAAAAGAACTGTACTTGTGTTTGTGAATGAAATAGAGGTAGAGGTTAGTTACATGCACAGTCATAAGAATAAACAAAAAATCAACAACTACATTAAATATTTCATCAAAAACAAAAAAAGTTAAAAAAAATAACAAAGGCACTACCAGCATCAGCAGTACTATGGTTATCAATATCATAAAGCATCAGTGTCTACACTATACATTACTACTCTTACACTCACAAGCACTACATTGCAAAACATAAAGAAAGCTGATTTCCATTCTTGTCCTTTTTGTTTTGATACTTTCAGCATAACCATTTAGTATAAACAAGAGAAAATATAAACATGGTTAGTAATGAGATAATACCTTGAACCTAATTAGGGAGCTTACAAAAAGCGATCAAGTAAACTGAAAACATGGGGCATATGGTAAAGTTTTGTTAATTCCCTTACAGAACTGCCAACACCTTGTTGTGACTTTGGGACTGTTACATCTACTCTTAGACATTGGAATATCAAAAACCTAAAATATAATACTTTGTGAGATGACTCTTTCACTCACATCTTTCTCAATGTCACTCATAACATTTCTTCTTCACTCACACCTTTCTCAACCAAGGGCATCCAAGGGTAACAATTTTTTGCTTTTTTATATTACACCTATATAGATCCAGTTTCTAAATTACACCTACATAGATCCAGTTATAGTTTTAAAATGCCCATGGAATTATTAATTTATTTTTTACTTTTTGTTCTCTTTATTCACCCCTCCCCCCCCTCCAAGAAAAAGATGAAATGACACCATTGTTCTCAACACCACTTATACACTTCTTTCACACTCACATCTTTCTCAACTCTCATAACAATTCCTCTTCTCATACCAAGTCTCCCAATCAAGTCCTCCTTGACTCTAGCTTGAGCAGACACCAGAGCCAGGCCACCTGCATGTGCATCTATGAGGGAAGTAGCCACGTGAGTCGACTCTGACAGGCCCAACTGAGCGGCTGCCTCTGCAGACAGCTGCCCACAGTCCGTTCCTGGAGGAAGCACTTCCTGGCCTGAAATCAAAGATAGAGAATTTAGGAAAACACTTAACCAGAGCTGGGAAGTGCTACTCATTCTCTTGGATATTAAAAAACATCCAACACATAAAATTATAACGCACAGAATACCAATTCCTGTAACACTATGAAAACAACTACAAAATTATTGGCAGTTCTTCTAATGGAACTGATAAAAAATATATAATGAAGACACTGAAAAGTAATAAGTACTATTGGTACTATTTCAACAAAACTTATGCATTCCTGGCATTATATTCTTCAACCAATATTCTCAGAGATACATGTACTGTTGGGTCTGTTTTCCTTGCAGTAATCTGTACTTTTCAAAATACAAATTTGTGTACAAGATAATTCTACAGGTTTAATATGCCAATGTCAAAACCCACCTGCCATGACAATTAAAAACTAGAACACATTCTTCCACACCAGACACTAAGAACATGGAAAAATAAAGCACTGGAAAAGGGAGAAAAAACAACAACATAAAACTCTTCCAATGCCAAATTTACAATCTAACGAAACCTACCAATTTTACGCCAACCATCCTCAGCCAAGTCTTCAAGGCCAACATCTTTAAAGAAGCCAGAATCCCATTCCTGGCTGATTCCGTCGCACTTGTAGGTCCACTTGCACACAGTCGAACACAAGGATCTGGACAACAGTGGAAAAATAGAATCACAGAAGGAAAGAAAGAAAAAATCAAATTGAAGATAATTTAACTATAGCATTTATTTGCAATGTAATATCACTGCTCCATTAATAGATTCTGCCATTTAAAATCTACCAAGGATACTGATATTCCAGATATTTTTTGCTTTGTTTGAAGAGGAATCATATGTCCTAATGTGGTTATATTTTACTTTAACAGTTCATCTGCCCACAGAATTGCACAGAAAATAAATAAGTCTCCATCAAAATATGCACATCACGCAATTAACCAAAACTAAGGAAATGCATTTCTCCAATAACCCTTCCCCCTCACACACACACACACACACGAACTCAGGGTGACTTACCTAGACAGCCGCCCCGTCGCCCTGAGCGTCAGAAAGTCTGGCAGGTCCAGGAAATGTGCAGCTCGTTTCCAGGTTTCGTTGAGGTGTGTCTTCAGCCATAGCAGCTTTGGGGTTTGCATTTCGAGGGACACTTTCCCCCCAACGTACTTCAACACTCTGAAAAGGGAGAGTTACTCTTGGGGAGACACCTTCTGTTTCAGCACACACTTTTTGTTCCATCTTTATTCATTGTCCTTTTAAGCTGCTGTTCACACTGGACTATGATTTCCTACTATTTCTATTAGAATCTGGTCCAATTTCACTTAAACCCTTTATTCTGTCACTATTTCTAGCATACTAATGTCTTTTTCATCTTCATTAAAAGCATTCCTACTCCAAAATTACTTTTAAAACCCAAAAATACCAACAAAATGAACTCTTATCATCTCTTTTCTCTAAAATACCAAAGAATCATGACATACTTTAAACACCCTTTCAAGACCACTCATACAATGCTGTACATTACCTAGAATCAATAGATAACAAACAGAATAAGTCCTGGGTTTCCATTCCCTTTCACAGCTTGTATGCACACATCATATAATGAAATTTATGCGACTCTATGTGTCTATGTTATAAAGGTCATATCTGATATCCTGAGCTTCTGAAAATTTAATAGAAAAATAAAATGAAATTCTTTTGATATTATGGTGATAAATGCTTCCAAAAATCAAAAAAACAAAAGAGTAGAAAAAAAGGATGATGTGAGGAAAGAAAGGAAAAGAAAAAAGAAAGAAATGGAGATGGAGAGCAAGATGACAAGAAGAACAATGAGAAAAAAAAAAAAAAAAAAAGGGGGGGGTGGGGGAAAAGTAACAACATCTATTTTTATTTCAGAATAAATTCCGACAGACAAGCACACTCAACAAAAGCATTGGCTAGACATCCTAAAACTTACCTTAACTAGTTTCTGAAATTAACAAATAAACAGTATTCCTTAAATTGAGTGAATATTCTAAACAAAGAAAAATTTCTTCCTAATATACAAAACTGATATAAAAATCATTCTCTAAAGCATAAAAAGAGGCGAAGAGGTATCTCTCGGCTTCTTGCTAACATCCATGCATTTTTCTTCATGCAAAGGCAACAACTAAAACAGAATTCTAAGTACAAGGCATTGAACACACAAGAAGTCAGTAATTATAATCTTATGTGATTTGCATAATCTTCTAGTTCATACATATTAAAAATAAGAAGTTCAGTTGCAATAAAAATTATCAGAATTCTGTAATTTATTTTTCTTAACAGCTTTTTCATTCCTGAATCAAGAAAAAAATCCAGGATGCAAATGTCCCTCTTGAAATGGTCATTCTTCCTTTCCTTATTAGAAAATAAAAAATAAAAAACAGATTTGTCCCTTTTCAAAATATCAAATAGAGACTGCTTTTCTTCTTCTTCTTATTTTTTTTTAAGAATGCATATCTATCTTTTAAATCATTTTCAATAAACATCACAGTAGGCTATTCACTCTCTGTTTTCTCTTAAAAATAAAATCTCTGGTACTCATTCTTTCACGAACATCAATCTTCCACATAAAAAGCTCAGGAAAAGAAACACGCACAGCTCAGTCTCTATTCTGCTGTCAAACAAGAGCCTTCCAGAGACAGGGATAGACCTAAGCACAGACATACTTACGAACAACTTACTCATGTCCGCCAGCGTTGATGCGGTCCGCCTGCTCCTTGGCTCGGTGGTCCATCCACATCATTATATTGAATCGATCCTCCCCTGACGTTATGCAACAATCACTTGATTACTATAGATTGCAAAATATGTGTGCAACCAATGAGGCACTGCAATACTTGTATCAGTTAAAATGTTTACTTTATATTTCATAACCTATTTGCCCCGGGTTTATATACTGTCCACTGTATTTTTTTGAGAATTTTGTTGCACATAGATATATCTTTTAAAGAATTTTGTTGCACATGGATGTATTTTTCAAGATTTTTATTGCACACATATGTATTTTTTGAGAATTTTGTTGCAGAAAGTTGTATTTCTTTTAGAATTCTTGTACAGATGTATTCTTTGATATTTTGGTTGCACACAGATGTATTTTGGGGGGAATTATGTTGCACATAGATGCCTCCACAAATGCTCAATTGATACAGTTATCATCATTACTGACATTATGATTATCATAATGTTATTAAAATACGAAGCATACTGAAAACAATAAGAATCTTCCTGCAAATCAAGGAAAAGGTTAAGCAAATGAGATACTTAGAACTTATAGTTAACTCATCCTTGACTAAGCACTTGTGGAGCCATATTTGTGTAAAAAGAATAAATAAACTAAAATCACTGTAATTATGGCAAGTAATATTGACATCTGGGCCCAGGGAGTTAACTTGCTATACACTTATTTCATATCTTGACTGAAGAAGAAAGAAAGAAAGAAAGAAAGAAAAAAGAAGGAATCAAGAAGGAAGGAAGGAAAGACAGAAGGAGAGGAAGAGAGAATGAAAAAAGAGAGAGATAAGGAAAAAATGAAAGAAAAAAAGAAGGATAGAAAGAAAGAAAGAAAAAAAGAAAAAAAAGGAAAAATAAAGCAGAAAAAAACTGACAGATAACAGTAATACACGCTTACCTGTTGCTGGACTAACAGTGACAGGTTTAAGGCTGCCGTCAAGCACTACCAGGGAGCAAGTGGCGTCGAAGCCTAGGCCGTGAATGGATGATTTATCTGCAACCTCGCTCGTCACAAACTGTAAGAGATGTTTTCAGTCATGACAAATTGTCTTGGGTAAATATTAACTGGAATTCGAAGTTACACATATCTAAGATCATTATTTTTTCTATAAAAAGAAATACTTTGTTGGATCTTCTAAATAATTATGCATCAATATTTGATTTTTCATGGTAGAAAATAAAAGTAATAATAGTAATAGTAGTAATAACAAATGTTAATAAGAAATTTTTTTTAATGATGGTCATGATGGTGATGATAATGATGATGATGATGATAACACTAATAATAATAATGCTAACAACAATAACAATTAGATCAATCTCAATATCTGTGATAGTACTACTAATAGTAATAATATCAAAAATAACAAAAGTAATAACATCCCTAAAAATAATTGTAACTATAACATCAATATCAGTACTAGCAGCAGTAACCATATAGTAAAAAGTAACAGAACTAAAAAATCTTATAATTATAACTCTAATAACAAAAATTTCATTAATAACTACTAGCAGTATTATGATAATGATTCTTATCAGTCATAATCACAATTTATACCTCTTTAGTTTCATTACAATTACCATTACAAACAAAGAACTAATAATGATATTAAAAAAGACAGTACCTTGATACAAGAATTAATCAAGCATCAAAAAGTTCCGCATTACCTTCACGGCCTCGCAAACAGCTTTCCAAATTTCCTCCGAATCCTGTTCATAAAAGTCTGGCTTGGGGTTCGAGATGGTGATAGGTATAGTGTGCATTTTCATCACAGACCCCAGGCGAGACACCAAGCCCGCTCGAACGCTGCTAGTGCCAACATCAACCCCTATGTAGTACGTCTCACCCATGGTGTCTGTCGCAGGGGAATTTTTTGGTCACTGTTGGGAATAATTCAATATGTCATGTTTGTGTTACTTTTGCAGTCTCTGGGGTGTATATAATATTCAATTTTTATTATCTACTTGGTTGGTGAGTGAAGTATATAAATATTATACCTCATGACACTATCTACATTAATTACATTAATATAGTAAAAAAAAAAAACATAATACAAAAAGTACAATCCATCGACAAGCTCCCAAATCCAAAAAAATAAAATCCAAATCCAAAAATGATCACAACAGAAACAGATAAAAGAGGAGAGAGAAAAAGATACACCTAATCCGAATGGTGCTTTCACAAGGTCAAAAAAGGAAGGTACCAGATAAACATATAATCGTATGTGCAAGATAAGGAAGCCACTTATCTTGACAATATCTCTGAGAGGCTGTGAGGCTGTTGTGAGGTACCATGAGATAATAATACTGAGAAAGAGAGAGAAAGAGAGGAGAGAGAGAGAGAGAGAGAGAGAGAGAGACAGACAGACAGACAGACAGAGAGAGAGAGAGAGAGAGAGAGAGAGAGAGAGAGAGAGAGAGAGACAGAGAGAGAGAGAGAGAGAGAGAGAGAGAGAGAGAGAGAGAGAGAGAGAAAAGGAAATGATATAGCAAAAGAGACAAATGAGTGATAAAAAAAATAATAATAATAATAATACAACTAATGCTGCTGCTGTTGCTTTTAATAATAATAATAACAATTATTATCATAATACTATTATCATGATAATATTCTGATGATGATGATAATAGTAATAATAATAATAATAATAATAATAATAATGATGATAATAATAATAATAACAATAATAATAGCAATAATAATAATATTAATAATAACAATAACAAAATAAATAATCATCACAATAATAACAATATTATTATACCAATAGCAATGATACCAATGTCAGTAACATGGCAATAATACTGCTGCTACTACAACAACTACTACTACTGCTACCACTAATAATTAAAGCTGCTGTTGCTTTTAATAATAATAATAACAATTATTATCATAATCCTATTATCATTAATATTCTGATGATGATGATAATAGTAATAATAATAAAATCTGCTGCTACTACAACAACTACTACTACTGCTACCACTAATAATTAAAACGCCGTGGTTATTGTTCCGGCACCGGATCTTCTCACAATTTGGAAATTCGTCCGGTATGCGCATTAATATACTAACTAATTATCACCAACTAATGCGATAATTGTGTCTAACAATTTCACGAGTTTCGTTGTCGTGTCTCGTCTCTGTTGGGATGTTTTTCCGGCTTTTTCTGTTGGACACCTATCCTGTAGAGCTATTTTTCCGGCAATTTTGTAATTTTTGTTTGCCATTTAATTGAAAATCTCCAGCTTGTCATTATTCGGCAAATTTGTTTGTTTTTAGAGGTCCCCGTGTGGAAAATAAATACCAGAGATAGCAGAGATAGAGGGTGATAGCAGAGGGGAGACAGGGAATTCCATAGCATGATCCCCCAGAAAAAGTCTAAAATAAGGTCTTTTATTGGCTT